AACGCCACCTATGGTGGTTTTGGGGGTTGGGCAGGGTCATTTTATAGCTCAAATCCTCCTCAAAATTAATATAAATTCCTCAAACATCCTCAAACCATCTCAATCCCTAGCCTGTCTCGCCTTTCTACTGCACTATTCCAAACATTTCATCTAACATTTCCATACTATTCCCAACAAATTCCACTAGATTCCACAGATATGAAAAGAATTGATTCCATCATATTAGAAACATTTAGAAACTAAATATGACAAAATACACATCGGCTGAAGCGCATCGGGCCTGAAAGTGCGGGCTGAAAGCACGGGCCAAAGTATCAGCGGTCAAGTCCATGTCATCGGCGTTCTCTTTCTCCTGGTGCTCCTTGACATTCTCAGCGTCCACCAACGGAGGCGGAGATGTCTCCTTCCCCGCAGCAGGATTCTCTTCTTCGTTCTGCATCTGCGGCGCTTCCTCCTCTGCCATGTGCTGGTCTGCGTCCGCACAAGCGAAGGAATACTTTGACAAGAGGTTCTGGCAAACTTTGCACTGGAGCCCATCCAGCAGCTTGTTCGTAAGTTGAGATGTCGTGAGCTTGGTCAGCAAGTCTGTCCAAGTCCCATTTGCCAGCCTTTTTGCTGCCACAATGGTGCCAATGAGATGACTGCCACTCTGGGTAGCAAACTCCAATGCTGGCCAAGTACCTCCTGATTCCTTTCAACCTTCTCTCTTTCTTCGTCTTTGGCTTTTTCTTGCAGCTCCGATTATGCTTCGAAGCATGCGTTGCAGGCTCACGCTCTTCCTCAGGCATCTCCTCCTCATAAATTTCTGGCAATTCCACATCAGCATTCTCCTCTTCATCCTTCTCTTTCTCCTTTCTGGCACGCTTCTGCTTGCTATTGGAACCTTTAGGCTTTGCCTCATGATCCTTCTGACTTCCTGATTCCCCAGTTGGAGGCTTCATAAGATGTGGGGTCCTTTCATCTTGGAAAGCTGTCCACGCTGGCGCTCTACTGCAATTTTCAACCATCTTTGCTTTCTTCTTGGCTACTTTTGGCTTCTCCGGTGGTGTTTTTGGATCTGCTGAAACTTTCTCTTTGGGTTTCGGAGTGCAGCTTCCAGCTTCAACTTCAGCAGAAATTCCAAAATAGACAGCAAACAGCTCTTGCCACCAGCGCCAGTCTGACAAAGAGATCCAAGATCGAGACAAGGTCTCTCGAAGCTCTTGAACTTCAGCAAGGTTCTCTTTTGATTGCTCCCACGCTAGCTCACTGTATTCCTGGCTGTCCAACACCTTGACGCTCCACAAAAGACAGTTCCCATCAGCAGGAACCTTGAAAGGTAGCATGTCAATCTTTTTGCAGCGGGCACAAAAATCACACCAGTTCACAGCACCAAGCCATGCGCTCTCGGCTGTAGAGAGCTGAGCTTCCAGTGTCTTCAGTCTAGAAGCACTGCACTGTCCATTGACCGCTTCCTGGTACTTGACATCCATGTTCATGTACTCGCTTTGCAATGTAGTCACAGCCAAATCCGCCTCGCACTCTTGTAGTTTCACCAGGCTGTTGTAAAGATTCTCCCCAATAGCGTTTGCAGACACTACAGGGACCCAGTGATTGGCAACTCCGGATGAGCTAAAGTCCGCAGCGCAATGAACAAAGGTCCAGCGTTTCGTGCCTGGCATGGAGAAGTTCAAGCCAGACGAGGTAAGATCCTTCATATAGTCCTGCAATGACACTGGCTCCAACGTCTTGCTGGCCGTGTCAACAATGATGGATACGTCCTCGCAAGTCTTGGAGAAAAAAACAACTTGAACAGAGGTTCTAATGTATTCTAGCCTCATCAAACCTCTAAGAATCTAAGAATCTTCATTGCAAAGCTTGGCCCTGCAAACCTCTTTAATACTGAAGATTTCTTGATCTTTTTTGATTTGGCTTTTTGCAGCCCAAGTGGCAGCATCACAAACGGTGGCCAACATGCAAAAGTCCAGCACCTCTAAGTATTCGCCATTCACCTTGATCTTGTCCGCATAGTCGACCTTTCTGCACAACAAACCCAATATACGATGTACTATGTACGCTATATAGATCTATATAGCTTGTACACAATTGTTTTCCAAATTTTACCAAACTAGTGCAAGCTGCAACGCTTCTCCTCACGTTCTCATCATGCTGGGCTCTGCGTAATCTCTTTCTTTTCGGGGACTGGCACGTGCTGGGCTCCACTTTGACCTTGGGCTCCACTTTGACCTTGGGCTCCACTTTGACCTTGAGCTCCACTTTGACCTTGGGTTTCTTACACGGAGGATTCACGTCTGGCAGCTTCTGCTGGGGCACTGGATCAAGCTTCGCTGGACATGGTGGAGGCTCAACCTTCAGCACCTTCTTCACAGGCACCTCAGCC